GGGGAGGCAGGGAGGGAAGGGAAAAACTGAGGTGTGATACCAAGGGCTCAAGTAGAAAGCAAATGCTTTCAGAATGATGATGGCAACAAATGTACAAATGTGCTTGACACAATGGATGGATGGATGGATGGATTGTGATAAGAGTTGTCAGAGCCCCCAATAAAATGATTTTTTTTTTAAATGGCCTCGGGAATTGACAGACTATCGATTGAAATGTTTCAACAAATTGATGAAGCACATTCTAAAGAAAGATGATCCAACAGAATGCAGAAATTATGGAACAATATCATTAATATCACATGAGAGTAAAGTTTATCTGAAAATAACCCATGAATGATTGCAGCAATACATTGACAAAAAGCTGTCCGAAATTGAACCCTGAGTCACAAGAGGACATGGAATGATAGGTGTCATGGGTGCTGTCAGCTGGATCTCGCCTGAAAGCTGAAAAGACCAAAAAAAGTTAATTGTATTTTATTGACAATACAAAGGAATTCAACTGGGGATAATAGGACTTATGAATAGCCTTGTGAAGAAAGGGAATTGCAGAGTATTTAAGTGGTGCTCATGCAGAACCTGTGCATAGACCACGAAGCAGTTGTTTTTACAGAATAGGTTGTTACTGCTGCTTTAAAATCCAGAATGGTGTTTGTCAGGGTAGTGTCCTTTCACCATTATGTTCCATTTAAATCGTAAGCAGATAATTGGAGAAGCTGGATTATATGAAAAAGAACATAGCATCAAGATTGGAGGAAAGCTCATTAACAACCTGCAATATGCAGATGATACAACCTTGCTTGCAGAAAGCATAGTGGGTTGGAAGTATTTACAGATAAAGATCAAAGACTGCAGCCTTCAGAATGGATCACCACTCAATGTAAGGAAAACCAAAAAAATCTCACAACTGGACTAAAGGACAACATATGATAAACGAAAAGATTGAAGTTATTAAGGATTTTATTTTGTTTGGATCCACAACAGTGCTCATGGAAGCAACAGTCAAGAAATCAAAGGGCATTTTGCATTGGACAAATCTCCTGGGCAAGACTTATTTAAAATTATTGAAGAACAAAAATAGCACTTTGAGGACTGAGATGCACCTGACCCTAGTCCGTGGCATTTTCAGTCACCTCATGTACATTTGAAAGCTGGACAGTGAATAAGGAAGACTGGTGAGGGATTCATGCTGTTGACGTATGGTGGTTGCAGAGAATTCTGCACACACCACGGACTGCTATGCCGACAACGCAAACCTGCTGCCACCGAGTCCGTGCAACTCAAAGCTCAGCGTACAGCACAGGGTAGAACTGATGGCAGTGAGTGTTTGGGGTTTTGTTTGTTTGGTACAATAAATTATGTGTTTGACAGCTAACCACAAAATCAGCTGTTTAAGACCACCAGCCACCTTCCAGCCACTTTGCAGAGAAAGATGAGACTTTCTGCCCCTATAAAGATTTACACTCTCAGAAACCCACAGAAGCTCCGCTCTTGTCCTCTATGGTCACTGTGAGAAATCAACTGATTGGTAGTGAGTTTGGTACACCAAATAGAGATTTAAATGTTCTGAAAACCAACATGGATCTGCCAAGAGTTCAAACTCCTTTTATTAAAATTAAAATGTTCTAGTCTTGTTATCAGATGGCACAACTTCTCCACAGCAACTCTTAAAGGGCAGAATTTAAAAAATAAGCTTAAAGTCACCTCACCTCTGATACATTTACCATGAATTATCCACTAACTACTATATATTAAAATGTGTTCTGAAATGTTTACTGCATACTTAGAAGAAGAAAAATTTAGATCTTCAAAATATTGATGCAAACTGTGATGAAGTCTTAAATTTTGACATTCTAAATTGCCCTCACACCTCCCATATATTTATTTGTTCCTTTTCAATGTTCTTTTCTGGTCTTGGTAAGCTGTGTTCTGGCTTTGCGCTATCCAGCTTGTAGTCTATATTGCACAGCCTCTCATATAAAAAAGAGAAACTGGCTGCCATCGAATTGATTCTAACTCTTAGTGACCTTATAGGACAGAGAAGCACTTGCTCTTTGGGTGTCTAAACCTTTAAATCTTTGAAAAGATGCAGAGTGCTAGTGGGCCCCAACCACGGACTTTATGATTGGCCGCTCAGTGTGAACCAGCTCACCACTGCCTTCTTTGGAAGTCCTTTAATACCTCATTGTTTTTCAAATATTCTTAGCTTTTTTCCACAGAGACCTGCTTTTAGGTCACAGACACTTGAGGTAGTGGGATTCTCCTGCCTCTTAAAGGATAATGTTCTTTATGCATTCCATTTCATTTTTGACCTCTTCCAATTTTCCTAGATTCACACATAGTACATTCCAAGTTTTGATCATTAGCAGATTGTTACAGCTGTTTCTCTTTACCTTGAATCGTGCCCTATCCGCAAATGAAGGCTCCACTCGTGCAGTTTTAGCCAACTCATGTCACCTTGATCCATCCGACTCCCAGGAATCAGCTCCTCAATCACATTCTGTACACCTTCCGACCTGAGGTACCCATCCTCTGTCACTATCTCTAACGAAGTTCTGTTTCCATTCATTAGCCCTTCAGGATCTGACAAATGGCTTCTTCCTCTGATGTGGGGAGCGGAGTCCTTCTTCGTGGTCTGTTTTTAGTCTGGAAGCTCCACTGAAACTTGTTCACTTTGGGTGACCCAGCTGGCATATGAAATACCAATGACATACCTTCCAGCCTCACAGCAACACACAAGCCACCTCAGCTGACAGGTGGTAGGAGAGAAAGATAGTAGTGGGTATTACCCACTGTTCCCTCTTTTATGTGCTCCATGGACTTTCTCTATATGAGGATTCTTAACATATTGCTCTTACGCATAGAATAAAGCACATGATGAAATGAGAAGTCAAAGAGCTGAGCAGAAAATTTCAAAGGGCAGCCTGAGAAGACAAAGTCAAATAATTCTTAAACTATAGAACAATATCAAATACAAGGAAATTCATATCACATACAAGGAAAATTTTGCTGCAACTCATCCAAAACAGTTGCAGCAGTTTTTGACAGGGAGCTGCCAGAGGTTCAGGCTGGATTCAGAAGAGGAACCAAGGGGTATCATTGCTGCTGTCAGATGGATCTTGGCTGAAAGCAGAGAATACCAGAAAGATGTTTACTTGTATTTATTGACTATGCAAAGGCATTTGACTGTATGGACCCTAACAAACTTGGATAACCTTGAGAAGAACAAGGATCCTAAAACACTACATTGTGCTCATGCAGAACCTGTACAGGGATCAAGAGGCAGTTGTGTGAACAGAACAAAGGAATACCGCATGGTTTAAAACCAGGAAAGGTGGTATATCAAGATTGCATCTTCTGACTATATTCAATTGGTATGCAGAGCAAATAGAGAAACTTGATTATATGAAGAAGAATATGGCATATTCAATCGGAGGAAGGCTTATTAACCTTCAATATGCAGATGACACAACCTTGCTTGCTGAAAGTGAAGAGGACTTGAAGCACTTGCTGATGAAGATCAAGTACTGTAGCCTGCAGTATGCAGTACAAGTCAATGTAAAGAAAATGAAAACCTCACAATTGGACCAATAGATAATATGATAAATGGGAAAAAATTGAAATTGTCAAGAATTGTGTCTTGCCAATTGATGTATGGATTGTGATAAGAGTCTTATGAGCCCCTAATAAAATGATTTTTTTAAAAAGAATTGTGTCTTGCTTGGATCCACAATCAGTGCTCATAGAATCATAAGTAAAGATATCAACCAATGGATTGCTTTGGGTAAATCTGCTGCACAAGACCTCTTTCAAATGTTAAAAAGCAAGGATGTTATGTTGAGGACTAAAGCGCACCTGACCCAAGCCATGGTATTTACAGTAGCCTTATAAGCATGTTGGACAATGAATAAGAAAGACTAAAGAAGAATTAATACACTTGAATTACAGTGTTTCTGAAAAATATTGAAACCAGAATGGCCAGAATACTTTTGAGAGGCAAGTATGATGAGGTTTTGTCTTACATACTTTGGACATGTTGTCAGGAGAGACCAGTCATGCTTGGTAAAGTAGACGGGCAGTGAAAGAGAAGAAAGCCCTCAAGGCAGTGGATTGACACAGAGGTTGTAATATTGGGCTCGAATATAAGCACCGTTGTGAGGATAGTGCAGGACTGGGTGGTGGTTCGTTCTGTGGTGCGCAGGGCAGCTGTGTGTCAGAACTGACTCAACAGCACCTACCAACAGAGGAAGACTCAGACGACGAATGGAAACAGTGGTTGCATTGATGGAGTCAGACGTAAAAAGTCCAAATTGTAAGGATGGCATAGGATCAGGCAGTGTTTTGTTCCGTTGGGTTTAGGGTTGCTGTGAGTTAGAACAGACTGGACAGCCCTGAACAATAACTAACATACTATATTCTGGCTAAGTTTGCACAGCCATGTCTTTTATCAGATTGTGAGTGGCCTTCAGGGCTTTGTTTTCCTTGCTGGTGAATCCCTGTACCCGGCCCTCACTACCACTGAGTCAATTCTGACTCATAGTGACCCTGCAGGACAGAGTAGAGCTGTCCCTGTGGGTTTCCGACACCAGAAGTCATTACAGAAGCAGAAAGCTTCATCTTTCTCCCTTGTACCTGGCAAGGTACCTGAAATATAACAAGTTTGTTGAGTGAATGGCAGTAGTTAATCACCACTGCCAGGGATTAACATGGCATCTCCCCTTAGTTATGTGAACCATCTAGTGAGAGTAGACTCTACCCTTTAGCTTGACATCTCAGAATCAAAGGGTTAGGAATTGGGAAGTGATTTCTTTTTGAGAGATGCCCCGAACTGAGGGCCTCAGCTGAACGTGCTGTTTTGTTAGAGGGAATTGCTGTGGCTTTACAAGCCTTGTGGAGATTCAATGTGTTAACAGCAGTGATTCCAAGGGATAGTGTGAGGGCCAGATATAAATAGCAGAGCACAAGTGGGGTAATGTGCCACTGCCAAGCCAGTGCTGGGGTGTTTATAAAAAGAAAAGCATTCCCTTCTCCGCTCTCGCTGTCAACAACATCCCTTCCGAAGGCACTCACCACGGAGAGCGTGGAGACTCAGTTTGAGAAGGAGCATCAGTTAAACCTGCAAAGGCAGGGAAGCCAGGTAAATTTTTTTTAACTTATTTCCACTCAGATGACCCAAGCGGAGAAGGTGCAGGGAAGCCCCAACTTAGAGCTTGCTTCACACATCTTCCCTTGTCACAGGCACCTGTCAAAACTTAGACTCGGGTTTTTTCTGGAGAAGGCAAGCTTACACGAAAGTGCCATTTTGGTATTGTATTGTGGTATCTCATAGTGAAATAAATTACTTCTGAAAAAGGTGGGAAACTGAGGCCAAAATCATCGTCAAAGGGATGGCTATCTCCCTTCCCCCGTGCCGTCGTGCCCATTTTCAGAAGCCAGAGCCTGCTGATGGGGAGAGTCAAAGAGAGATTTGGGTTCTAGTAATGTGTGCTGGAAGTCTCTGGAAAGGACTAGCCCAACCTGCGGTAGTCATTCATGGAATTAGTTAATGGTTCTGGGGCAGCCTCAGCCCTTGGGGACTCTGTAGCCTCCTGTTTGCCCCCTTCAGTTTCATAAACACTGAGATGAATATTGGGCATTCTGCCAACAGCCTTGTATAATCTTGCTAGAATTGCTGCCTACCCAGTTCCTTCTTATTTTCATTTCCACGCCTTCAGAAAGTTATGTAAGACACTTGTGTTACCACTGGGCTTCTCAAGATTGTGAATATTTAGGGGAAGGAGCCCCCACCTTCAAATAAATCACTGCTTTGTATCATGATTTGATTTGAATTTTTTAAAAACGATGTAAATTGACACTTGGGGAATTCATAGAAACTGAGAGCTAAGGGACCAATTTGAATGGCTGTTTTTCAGATTGATTGTGTTCTGTCCCGGGTACACTCAGAGGGATATTTAAAGATATGACTACTAGTGACTGTGGTGGGAGAACATGTCTGGTTGTTGCTGATAGTTCTGGAGAATTGGATCTAACCCATGGCAGCCTCATGTGCAGCAGATGGAGACATTACCAGTTTGGTACTATCTTCAAGACTGTTAGCTTGCTCAAATCGGTGATTGTGGTCACTGTGGATTTTGAGTGTCTTCCAACCTGGAGGGTTCATCTGCCAGTATGATCTCGCGTCTGCCAGTATGATCTCGGGCAATACTCTGTAGTGATCCTCAGGTTTTCGTGGACTAATTTTTGGAAGTGGAATGCTAGGCCTTTTTTCTCAATCTTAGTTTGGAAGCTCTCTTGAAACCTGTCTGTCATGAGTTACACTGCTAGTATTTGAAATACCAGCGACATTACTTCCATCATCAGAGTAACACGAACGCCACCGCCGTGTAACAAGACGGATGGTGGTAGGTAATGTCTGGAGGTCTATGGAAATAAATAGATTTAATTTTGAGCAAATTGCTAAACTTCTCTGAGCTTTTGTTTCCTCGTCTATAAAATTAGAGTATTAGGCGCTAGAGGCCCTTTCACCTCTGAAATTTCGTGACGACCATGTCTTAATTTTAAAGATATATGTTCCCCCCTAGAATGAACCTATATATAGCGCCCTCCTGCTCTACTTCTAAACTTTGTTCTTAAGTCCACTAAATTGAAATTTCCTTATTTTAATTTAGAAGAGAAAAATGAAGACAAGCCATTTTGAAATGCTCACCATGCTGCTGGCAGCTGTGATCCTAATAGACATCTTCCAGGTAATGTGAGGAATGAGAAGCATGTGGCTAGTGGAATGAGAACTCTTGATAAGACATTGCCCGAGGCATCTGAATAGAAATGACATTGGCATCATTAAGAAATTATATTAGATAGACAATCCTGAGGAGAAAACAATGGGACTGATGTTTGGGGGGTAGAGGGATCATGGGAAAGGGAAGGGGCAGCCAACAAACCCAGAGACAAGGGAACAACAAATGATTTAAAATTGATGACAAAGAAAGTGTAGAATATCTGGTGGAGTTTGATCAAGTACATTGTAGCCTAGAGGAATTACTGAATGCTTAATGAATACCGAACATGATAGTAGGACAGGAGGAAAGTAAAAGGAAATAGAGAAATGAATTAGGAGGCAAAGGACATTGATAGAGATATAAATATAGGCACATACATATGTAAATATATATAACGATAATGATACAGTTCTGTGTACATATATTTATAGGTTAACTATTAAAGTAGCAGTTGGACATTGGGCCTACTCAAGTCCTCCCTCAACGCAAGAACACTTTGTTCTAACAGCCTGGCATTCCGTGATACCTTTCCAACACGATCGCTGAAGACAAAATGGGTTCATAAACAAAGGTGGTGAAGAGAGCTAATGGTGCCTGACTATTAAAAGATACAGTGTCTGGGGTCTTAAAGGCCTGAAGATAAACAGCCATCTAGCTTGGAAGCAATAAAGCCCACATAGAACAAGCACACCATCCTGTGCGATTATGAGGTGTCCACAGGATCAGGGATCAGGCATTAGAAGACCCAAAACAAACAATCATATCGATGCTACTGAGCGGGGTGGGAGTGGAGACCCAAAGTCCATCTGTAAACAATTGGACATCCCCTCAAAGAAGGGTCACAAGGAAGGGACAAGCCAGCCAGGGTGCAGGATAGCACCAACGAAGCACACAACGTTCCTCTAGTTCTTTAATGCTTCCTCCCCAACCACCGCCAACTATCGTGACCCCAGTTCTACCTTACAAATCCGCTAGACCAGAGCATGTACACTGGTACAGATAAGAGCTCTTGGCACACACAATCCAGGACAGATAAACCCCTCAGAAACAATAATGGGAATAGCAATACCATGAGGGTAGGGGGAATGTGTGGGGAGAAAGGGGGAACCAATCGCAATGATCAGTGTATAAACCCTACCCCACCCCCAGCCAGGGTGACGAACCACAGAAACATAGGTGAAGGAAGACAGCAGACAGTGTAAGATATGGAAATAATAATAATTTATCATTTATCAAAGGCTCATTAGGGTGGGAGAGTGGGGGAGGGAGGAAAAAAGGAGGAGCTAATAACAAGGGCTCAAGTAGAAAGAAAATGCTTTGAAAGGATGATGGCAACATTTGTACAAAGTGCTTTGACACAAGGGATGTATGGATTGTTCTAAGAGCTGTAAAAGCCTCCAATAAAATGATTAAAAAAGAAAGAAAGAAAAGAAATGATATTAATAGGGTAGGTCAGAAAGATCCCTGGTGGTGCAATGGTTAATGCTCTTGGCTGTTAACTGAAAGTTTGGATGTTCAAACCCGCCAGCTGCTCCATTGAAAAAAGATGAGGGAAAAACAAAAATCAGGCTTAATCCCTTCACACCGAGGAAAAGACTTGTTGATGTATAGCTGCCTTGGCTTTGTATTTCTCTGTGTCTATTTAATTTATAATAGATTCACAGTATCATACTTACAATACTATTTTTTTTAACATTTTATTAGGGGCTCATAACAATACTATTTTTATACTTTTGATTTTTGAGTTAATATTGTTGCTCTAAATGTCTCTCCATGACATTAAAAATTCTCTCTTTGACACAATGGCTGTATGTATGGATTGTGATAAGCATTGTATGAGCCCCCAATAAAATTATTTTTAAAAATTCTCTTAATAAGATGATACTGCATTTGTTAGGTTGCTTAAAACATCCTATACTACTTTTTTATATAAATTATGTGATATGCATATCATTAGATTTTTCCCTTCTATCATTGACATATTATGCCTGGATGAATACTTTTCCATTAATATGAAATGCATTCTTTAAAATATAGTTTAATAATAATTTATAAATTATCAAGGGCTCATGAGGGAGGGGAGAGCTGGGAGGGAGGGGGAAAATGAGGACCTAATGCAGGGGGCTTAAATGGAGAGGAAATGTTTTGAGAATGATGAGGGTAATGAGTGTACAAATGTGCTTTACACAATTGATGTATGTATGGATTGTGATAAGAGTTGTATGAGCCCCTAATAAAACGATTAAAAATGTATCGTTTGTAAATATTTGCACAATTAAATATTTAATTGTGGTTTAAGTGAAATGATACAGTTTTACTCACTTTCATATTTAATATTCTAATCCATTCTCTATGTTCTATTGTCAGTAGCACAGTGTTTTGGTGGATAAAATTCACATACACAGAATGCAGCACTTTTTAAAGGACATAATCTGGTGGGTTTTAGTATATTCGATATAATTGCAGAACGTTTCCATCAACCACAGGAGAAACTCCATAGAGTCTCATGTCTTCCTTTCTTCCATCGTGTGGCACCTTCTGCTCTATTTCCTCTTTCTGTGCCAGTCCCGGATATTTCACTTGACTGACTGGAACCATACAATCTTGAACTTTCATGTTTGATTTCTTTTACTGATTTGTGGCAGAGTAACTTCAGAAACCCATCCATGTTATCACATGTTAGAACATAGGTCCCCAAACTTATATGTCTACTGCTCCCCTTTCAGAAAAGAATTACTCAGTGCCTCCCTGGCATATAAAAAATTTTGTGCTATAGCCCATAATCTAGAATAAAGTATAGAGAACTGCTTTCACAGCCCACTCACCTGGAGAAACACTCTGTCAGATTACTTCACTTCTTCTTATGCCTGAATAATATTCCACTGTATGCTATACCACATTTTGTCTATCCATTCATCAAGTGATAAACATTTGGCTTGTTTCCATTCTTTGGCTATTTTAAGTAATGTACAGGCTGAGGGGATATTTTCTCGATTTTATTTTGCAATATAATTTTTTCCCTAAATTGTACTTTTATTTTTTTCTTGTCACTGTTGTTCAGAATATAGGGAGCAAAATATATACCAACTCAACCGTTTCTACATGTACTATTATTTAGTGACATTGATGACATTCTATGAGTTGTGCAACCATTCTCACCTCCTTTTCTGTGTTGTTATTTCCCCATTAACATAAAATTATTGCCCCCTAAGGCTCCTGTGTATTATACCAAATTGCATTTTCAATGTGATCCCATATAGATAGTTTTATCAAAAGCATAATGCTCCAGTAGACCTTTTTTACAAGTTAAGCTAAACTTTTCTTTAGTTTTAAGATGATGTCCGGGGGTTGTGTTTGGTTTAAGATTTCAAGATTATCTCAGGACAATATTCTCTGGGAGTCATCTACTCTGTGTGGTTCCAGAAAGGCTGAAATGCATGAGAATTTGAAATTGTGTTCTGCATTTCCCCCCTTTTGATCAGGAATTTTCTATAGTATCCTTGATTCAAATGTTCGGTGTTTGTAGCTAGGCACCATCCACTTCTTCTGGTCTCATAACAAAGAAGGCAATTAAAAACTTTTGTTTTTCATATTCTCCTCTTATTCCTAACTTCCCTTCTTCCTCTGTTGCACTGGGTGAATAGAGACCAACTGTTGTAGTATGGATGCCTGCTTGCAAGCTTTTAGGACTCCGGCTTTAGGCAGTGAACGAGGAGGCAGAACAGAAGCACTAAACATGCTATAGATCAACTGACTGAGATGTCCAATGAAACCATGACTCTTTTAAGACTCCAAACCATGTAACCAAAACCTATGAGTAGCTACTCTTTGTTACTTTTATTGTCATTGTTGTGAATATGCCTGTCACACTTCTGTCAATTTAATAACAACAATTACAATAATCTGCTGTGAAAACTATTCCTTTTATTAGTGCAAACTTTCCTTCACTGTTAGTCCCCTTGCCTCCCTCCTGCTCACCCCTGGTATCACTAATAAGCTTTAGTTTCTATACATTTGCCTTTTCCTGTTTATTATATCAGTGAAGTCATATAATATTGGCTAATTTCTCTCAGCAGAATGTCTTCAAGCTTTCTCCATGTACTGTAGGCTGAATGAAGACGTCATGTATCTTACTGGTCAAATAGTCTTCCGTTGTTTGTATGTGCTACATTTGGTCCATCTATTCATCTGGTAATGAGCATTTTAGGTTCCTTCCACCTTTTGGCTTCTGTGAATACTGCTGTAATGAACATTGATATAGAAGCCTCTCTTTTTGTCTCTGGTTTTGAGTATACACCTGAGAGTAAAAATCTCTGGGTTGCAGTATATAATCTTAATGCGTTTGTTCTATAAATATATGAAATTGTTTATTTCATAGAGAAATTGAGCCCATTTCTATTCTTAACCATTTAGATAATTTTCATGTTTTTGCAATAAAGTCTCAGTATTTAGACTTTATCTTTACATTAGGGTAGACTTTTATTTCACTGCATAAATCAGAGGGAGAAAATATAATCATCTTGTTCACTTAGTCCTTAGTATCTGCTTTCTTGTGTCCATTGAATTATCCCTGTATGGTGGTGGCATTTGTGAACTTTGTCACTGGTCAAGTCACTCACTGTACAGAACACACAATCAGCTGTGGCTTTTGGCCAGAAAAGACTTGAGGACTAAAATTAGACATGTGGGAGAGTGGTTAGAGGCATCAGGAAAAGACAGGGACATATTGGATCAACTCGGATTGGCTATGAGGTTTGTGGGAGGTAGTTTTAGGCTTTGATGTCTTAGACCATGTTGAAGTCTTGAGGATAATTCGGGTAGTGTTGTTCAGGGTGCAGTCTGGAAAATTCTGTCCTGCAGAGGAAAGTGTGTTTCCTGGCCAGGGGTCGGCAGTGATTTGACCTGAAGCTCACATTCCCACATCAGAGATCTGACCTACAGACCCAGGAGCTCAGAGGGCTCAATGA